GATCCTGGGCAAGGCGTACGCCGTCCTGAGCGACGCGGAGCAGCGGGCCGTGTACGATGAGCAGGGCACGGTGGACGAGGAGGGCGAGGCGCTGAGGGGCGAGCGGGACTGGCAGGAGTACTGGCGGCTGCTCTTCAAGAAGGTGAGAGCCGGGCCGGGGACCGGGGTCTGGGAAGCGGCGGCGGGGCCGTGCGGGGCCCCCCTCAGCGGCACGGCAAGCCCGCCGGCAAGGGGAATCCCGCTGCCTCGGAGTTGGAGCCGTGCGTCCTTTACGAGCTTTGTGGGGCGTTTTGTTTATGCTGTCTCTTAAATCCTTCTGGTGAGTAAATCCTGTAACTGAAGAAGCGTCACCTCTTTGCTTCAGATCACGGTAAAAGATATCGAAGACTTCGAAAAGAGCTATAAAGATTCAGAAGAAGAGCTAGCTGATATTAAAGCAGCGTACATGGACTTTGAGGGTGACATGGACAGAATAATGGAGTCTGTGTTGTGTGTGGACTATACAGATGAACCAAGAATACGGAAAATCATAGAAAAAGCCATTGACTCTGGAGAAGTCCCATCCTACAAAGGCTTTGTAAAAGAGTCTAAGCAGAAAATGATCGCAAGGAAAAGGCGGGTAAGCTACATCAATCAGGGACCAAAGGGAAACATTATTTATTATAAGCTTTTAATCTCCCCTGACAGAAATAAATGAAACTGTTCTTGACGCACGTTTGCCACAGGATTGCTGGGTTACAGATCTTGCTCAGTATCTTTGACTTTCACATTTGGTCACCGGTGTTTTCCACCCCCACCCCTCCAAGTTGTTGTGAAAGGCTTTTGAGTGGTAATAGGCTGTTGCTTATTACTTCTTTATTTCGTTATTATATACAATGGCTTATTACAGTTTTTAGTATGTCCCTGCATTTATTTACAAAGCTGTGAGTTGCTGGAGTTAAGAAGCGGACGTGGGGTGGAAATATATTATGCTTGCCTTTTGGCAAGTGTGAAATAACATTCTGGACTGAATGGACCTCTTCTCCAACCTGGGTTGGTTTTGGTTTGGTTTTTTTTTTTTGGACACTTCATACAATATGTTATATGCACATCCCAGTAACGTTTCTCCAATGTAAGAAAATGTAATAGCCGCTAAGACAAAAAAAGCGTGGGTGCGGGGAACAGGGATGGGGGTGGACGTCTCGTCATGTTCAGCATTGTGAAACAACAAAAAACTCTCTTGCTCTACTAAATGCCAGAACCAGAATGGGCTTCCTCTTTGCCTGATCTCTCATCTGTGGCCAAACTTGGAAACCGTTTGTGTTTCCTTGCAGCTATTTATATACAGATGCAAAATAAAGTGTTTGGCAACTACTATAAGACTTTGTCAAATAACGTGCAAAATACTTTTTAAAAAACTAGTTTGCTATTTCAGGCAGAAAAAGAAGCCAGAGAGGCAGAAAAGACTAAAGATGAACTGGGCCTTGGTGGAGAAGATGACTTGAAAGCGCTGATTCAAGTAAGGCTTTTTGTATCTGTTGAAGATAATTATGTTACTGGCTTATAATTGTGTTTTCCCTGAGCATCTTTGTATTTTGGATCCTTGCAACTCTTCTGAGTTCCTGAGGTTAAAATCTGACCTTAATGTTAACTATCTATGGACTTTAATAGCCAGTGTACGGTATGGATTTTATTACCTGTGTCTTTTTAAAAATTACTCTAATATGCTTATCCTTACTGCATACACAATCAAAATATTTAACTTCTAGTTTTAGGCAGTTAGACAAGGAGTGTTAATGATTATTGCTTTCTGAGGGATTCCACGAGGATGTGGAAGTTGATAGGTCTTACTAGTTTGCTTTTTTATCTTGGGGACTGAGGAAAGAAGCATACTGTTTACGTTCTGCTTTTCGGAATGTTTTCTGTTTCTTCTTTCTTATTGGCCGGTTGGGCTTCCTAGAATGTTCATGCTTAATCATTCCTCAAATTCTAATAGAGTTTTGGGTCTAAAGTAGAAATTGCTTTTCTTTTTCTCGCCTTATGTCGTGATTTTTTTTATAGCCGCTCTTTACATTTGTCATGATACTTCTGGAATTCAGGTACAGAGCCTAGAGTACACAAGCAGGCTTTTGCTTGACAGTACTATACCTCCTGTAGCTTGTGTTCCCTGTTTAATCTATTCTGAGATTTTATGTAGCTAGCTAACTTCAATAGAATAATCTGTATTGAGAAGTAGTAAAAGTTTTTGGTTTTGTTTTCCCCTCCCACAGAGCAGAAATAAAGATCGGAAAAAGGAAATGGATGACTTTTTGGCCCAACTGGAAGCAAAATACGGGAATAATGCTAAAAAAGGAGGAAAGAAGACTGCAGCCAAGAAAGGAAAGAAATAAAGAACTGTGTAGGCTGAAATACCGGGTATAGTTTTGTATGGGAACATGTGGATTTGGGAGAATTTCAGAGTTTCTCTGGGCTAGTGTTTTCGAGTGTGTGTGCATCAACTTGCTGTGACTGGGAGGTATGATGCAGAACATCCACTATGAAGAAGAAAGGCAAAGCATTCTGGTGCTACTGTTAGAAATCCTTTGGGTGCTCTTCAGTTAAGATCAAATAGATTCTTGACTAAAAGTTTTGTTACAGTAAGGAAGCAGCGTGATGTTTGGAATGCCTGGGTGTTCATTAAACTTGTGTTGAAGCACCTTCGTTCCCAACACCTAACGGGTAGTGGTACAGCTGATGGTGGAACACTCCAATCCCCCACCTTTGAGAGTCTTCAGCGCTGGTTTCTGTGGCTTCTGAGTGAGAAACCTGATCTTTTTGCGAGTCACACGTTTCTTTTGTAACAAACCTTCTGCTGTTTTTAAAGGTCTTTGCACTTCAGCTCAACAGGTGTTTTTTCAGATATTCCATTGGTTTTATAAAGATACTTCGGGAAATTGCAGATTTAATAAAGGACCAGTTTTTGCAGAATTCTGTGCTATGTTGCTTCCCCAGGCCTCTCTACATTTTCCAAGTAGCTGTTCAAACTGATCGTGTTGACTCTTCTGACTGATTTAAGTCAAGTAACTACTACATACTTCTATAGCAGCTGAAAACATGGCTGGATTAAGTGTGGCGTTGCTACATTAGATGAAAGGGCCATCTAGTGTTTGGTCTTTGATTGCTTGCAGATGCCCTGGGCAGAATGAGACTGCAGCATGTATGTGACTATGCAGAAATTCTCTAACACGCTGCGATGAGGTAATAAACAGTCAGTTCTGTGTATTTCTAGGCTTTGTGATGTCTCATGACAAGGCGTTCCAAGGCTTAGAAATGTATTGCGTGTTACTTCAATAGCATCACAGTCAAGTCTGCTGTAGGATGGTAGTGATTAGCTACTTCCTTGTATTTGTCAACAGTTCTGTTACTTCAGAAGTGAATTGCTTCTGTAAGATGTGCACGTACTTTGAAGGTTTTTGCTTCAGCTGTTTGTAAACCACTTGACGTAGTGCACAGGGGCATGAATTTGAAGGGTAACTAGTCTTCAACTTACTATAGCTCAAAGGAATGAGGCTGGCTTTATTTTGTGGATCATTTTTCAAAGGCTTACGAGCCACAAGGTGAACACTTACTTTTGAGTTGAAGGTCCTCATTGCTTCAGTGATGGCATTCAGGAACTGACTATTTTATTAAATGGCTTCCTAGGGGGAAGCTAGAGGTAGAATGGTAACTCTGTTCCCTTTCACTTGGCTGCTTTCTAAAATTATCCTGATTCTGAGGGAGTACAGCATATCATTACGTTGCGTAACACATGACTTGAACGCTACTCTTACTGTACAAAACAGATACCTAACAGCCCAGAAGTCTCTGGTGTCAACCGTTTGTACAGAAACCAAAAATTACCTTATGATGAGACTGCTTTCACTGTTTTAACACAGTGACTCCTCTAGGCTATAAAAAATACTGCATTATGGTACTAGAAGTCTATTCAAGTTTATTTGTATATTTTTGTAACTCTTATGCACTAGCGCTACAGAACACTAACTTGGTCCCTGAGGAATGGCACGGATATAAATGGGATGCTCATCTCCAGTTAGCTTGAGATAACTAAATGACACACTGTACAACGTTCCAGTTGTCTTAGCTGTTAAGAGAAACTGTATTTTGAAGGGGTTTAGTGAATAGACGCCTCTCTTTAGCATCAATTTATCTCTATGCAAACTTAAGAGATTTAGATTGAGACCAGAGCTTTTTTTTCCCCTCTAGAAATGCAAAGGAAAGTTAACCCAGCTTGCACACTTGCACACATTTGCACACTTCTGCTTTGCTTTCTTTTCCCCTCTTCTTGATTAGAGAATGCTTGGATCAATTGGATTCAAGAACTTCAATATTGATTAAAAATTATTAGCTGTTCTGTAGGTACCACTAACATTTGATGGATTTCATAACTTAGAATGGGGAAGTATGAGCCACTTCCTAGAGAATACTGACAGGTTTTTTTTCCATTATGAATTGTAATTTGGAAAACATTAATAAGGAAATTTAGAAAAAAGTGCTCTTTAATTGGATTGTAAAGGAACAACTGTTTTCGTGCAGTGTCCTAACTGTTAAAATACAGTAGTGGTTGTCTTCACCTTGTCTTTACACTTACTTGTAGTCTGGTGCTTACTGCTTGGGAGTAAGACCTTCGACTAATCGGTTATTTTGAGAAGCTTGTATTTCATGTTCTCATCTTATCTGGAGCCACAAGGGCAACTACAGCTAATACCTCCGGGACGTCTGTCACACAGTGCAGAACACATCTACTAAAAGCTACATTGCATCTGAAGGTTGTGGAACTTCATGGTGGAGTGCAGAAATCTTGTATAAGTACAGGTATTTTTAGAAAGGGAGACTGAACTATTCTGTGAAATTACCATAAAATATCTCAGCAGGACGACAATGTACTTTCTTTGAATCCTGTCCAGAACTACTTGCAGTACGACAATCCTTTTTTTAGGAAGACAATTTTCTTTCTTTGAATACTGTCCAGAACTACTTGCAGTAAGAGACTCCTTTTTGCCTCTTAAACCTTCTTCAGTCACTGAGGAAGAGGTATAAGTATATAACACAGGAAGAGTCAGTGGTGTGCAACCCTTGAAGCTGTCAGCTCTGCTCATCTGGTTTGCTACCTTAGTTTTACACAACTGTGTTAATATCTGCCGCAATTACTACAGGATTCACAACTTGTCTGAGTTGTAGAAGCAGTATCGTGTGCAGTGCTTGCTTTTGGATACTATAATATTGCTTTAAACATATAAATATAGCTTTAAACATTTAAATTACTACTGCTATGGAAAACCTGGTTAATCTGTAGAGCTAGCAGAAAAATCAGCAGGTTCTGCAGCGCCTGCCTGTAACAACATGAACCAGGAACAAGCCAGTAATGGCAAAACAGCAACGACTGAGAGCATTTGCTAGATTTTCTAGGAGTTAGGCATTACTGCCCACTGGAATATATTCACCCTTCCACTGGAGTATAACTTTTTCTACTGCTAGAAAATGGAATGTTTAAGTATACTCCTTCTAATCTTTGGCAGCTGCTTCTTAGATTTATATAAAAATAATATTCATAAGGAAGGGTGTTTGAAAACTCTGTAAACAATGTTGACACTGCGGAGAATGAGAGGTGGTTGATGACTCTCGAGGTGGATGGATACTTCTTCATGGCACGTTAGAACCCTGTTTGCTTTTTGTGACTGATCCACTTCGACTGTGGGCTTTCACAGAACCATGCAGCTGAAGACCTAATGAACAGAGATCATGTACAACTTTAAGACTTCTGGAAGGTATTAAAACTAAGTACCAAATACATCTTCTTTAGCTTAAAACTGAATTTTTTTTGGCTTTTTATTCTAATATGTGGCTATCAACTGCATTATGTATAACTTGTGCAAGTTTGAGACAAATGACTGGCCTTCCAAAAGGAGCAAAGTTTGTGCTTTTGTAGTCGCTGCATTGCAGGGAACTACTGTATTCCTTCATATTTCATTAAGTATTCAAGTCTACAAAGTTCTTCTTCTGATTTCAATTTTTTTTTTTTTTTGTTAATACAGCTGTCATAAAACTCATCTTGCATTTAAAGATACTGAGGTTGTTCTGGGGGGGTGGTAGAGCGTATATTTATTTTCATTTCAGTAGGAACCACTCCTTTCTTCTTTAAGAACAAGTTACTTCAGTTTTGTGCCTTTGTTAAAATCAAGTTGCCTCTTATACTGCTACATTAGTGGTGGTAGGCCATTCAGCTATTAAACAAGCTAAGAGACCCCTCCTGTCCTCTAATAATCACCCATGTACTTGTTACCTTAACGTTTGCAGCTTCAATCCTATCTTGTTAGTATATTTTTATGTGGGAAATTCTGACAACTCCATAAGGAATCCCAACACACTGTGATGAAAGGAATCCAGTGTAACTTGTCTTGACAGACCTAGTTTTCAGAAAGTGCATCTAATCCCCTGTTCTGTGCCACCCTTTCCAGGTGGAGGTGATAATTAGCATCAAAACAAAGTTAACAGGGAGTGCTCAAGGTGAAAGACAGCCTTCAGAAAAGCTGTTTCAGGGCACAAAAGTTAACTTTTGCTCTACTGTAATCTCTGAGCAAACTCCCTTTCAACTGACTAGACTAGACCCTGTGTACGCCATGAGGTGAAAAACCTAAATCTCTGAAGGTGAAGCTTAAATAAGTAATGTTCATTGGTCTACCATAACACTTGTGTACACACGTGCAACTTAGTTGTGTAGCTTCCTACTATTAAAAAAGAACCACAACCCTGGTTGTGACTGTGTAGCTATTCTGAAGCATATATGAAGACTATTTTCAAAGTGTATTAACCATAAACAATTTAAGGAGATGACTTGGCAGTGGAGGAAGGGAAACGGGAAGGAAGAGTATGCATTACATTCACAACAAAAATTCTTTCCTGCTGCCTTCATCAACTAAAAATGAATCTCTTCTAAAATCACTTATTTTAGGTTATGCCATGTAACTGTAAAGTTAATCCAATTGTTACAAATAAACAGTACAAGCATATTCTGATTTCAGAGTATGGATGTGAATTGTACTGGTACAGTTACTGGTTTTAAAATATACTTGGAGTTGATCTAGTCCAATTCTAGTACAATCTCTTCCAGATACAGTGCAAATAAATTTCTTTTGGACATAATGCAATTTCTGTCAGCTGTAGAGCTGAGCAGAAGAAAAACCCTTGGACAGAAAGTAGTTGTTGCTGGTTCCTGTTTAAATTGGGAACTCCTGCTCTTAGCTTTGACATGAGAGGCATTGGGGCTGATTGCATTAAGCCTCCTTAAATGATTTAAAATAGTAGGTGGTAATAAAAAAACCCCACCAAACATATGCTATATGCAAGTATAAAA